TATATGAGTTAATTGATTTAGGTGCCCTAACGCACCTTAATCCGTTAGGTGGTGACTCTTCAAATCCCTTGCCCCGTCCCAGAAGGAATGGAGTTGTCTCAGAAATGTCGAAACCCGATTCGCGAGAAAAAGGGGGCGCGACAGCATGACAACTCTGCTGGGGATATCTTTAGGCTCTTACCATAACGAACTTGTCTGTGAATTAGTCTTTAAGCATGTCTTTAATACTTGAAAACCCCTTCCCATTCTATGTGAATTCATTTGTCTATCCTTATTCATTTATGATCTCCCTCCCCTGCTTTATCACTTTTACTATGGAAACTGACTTATCTCCTTATTTTTCTTTTCTTAAATGTCTTTACAATTATTAAATATTGCATTTCATCGTTATTCATCATGCAAATACTTGACAACGTGTTGTTTTCTTTTTGCATAACTCCATGCTCAATATCATATTCCACTTGTGCGTACTAAAACCATAGCGACACTTGATGAGTGTCCGCGCTCTTCCTAAAATCACCCTTTAAATTCGGAAAGGCTTATTTGCAGTAAAACTAGTCGATCAGCGGTGCAGTCGACGGTTCCGTGCCTTTCCCTCCCAAGTTGTCCGCTTGAGGGTACCAGTTTAGACTTCTATAGAAACCTTGCTCTGATAATAATTGTACATGCATCACGAGGTTCCCTAAATTAGGACACGAATTTACATTTCCGCAATATGTGTTTAAATCCTGCAAATATTTTTTAGAATCCTTACTGACTTGTTTACCTTTCGTTTTTTCTTTATTTTGATTATTCCCATCCCCCAAGGTTGGTTCGCACATACTGGCATCGTCAGCATATCACACCAGATCTAGAGGCCCTCCACCTCCTCCTCCTCCAAGTAATCCGAAAAGCAAGGGAAAGACTAAAATGGATGATATGAGTGGTATCCGGAAAGAAAACGCTGTACATGTTGAGAATGTTGAAACTTCAGACGGTCGGAGTACCGGCTCAGAATGATCTGGTCCTACGATTGGAGCAGACAATACTGGAGTTGCAAGGAGATCTCTAGCAGGTCCGCAACTTGGCAAACCTCTCCCTCACCATAAACGTCCCAGACGTTAATCAATGAAATTGTCAAAACCCAGCACCTCCTCAAAACACACCAAACCAACGTCCACAAAATCCTCCCGCACTCCATCAATACGCAACTCCTCCCCAAAATCCTAATCCTCCACCAATACCCACTCCCCCTCAGCATCAACATCTTCCTACCCAATACCCACAAACCACTTACCATACTCCTCAGAATATCCCGCAACCTATCCCTGATCCGCAAAACTCAACTAACGATCACCACTACACTCCAACCCCTGGCACCACCAAAACAATCCCATATACGTGGAAACCTTACCTCACTCTACTCAACCAACCTCATGCGTTCCAGAATTTACCGAGAAGGACCTGCTCATTCAGAACATGGCCAAAGAGGTCAAGAAGCTCACGAGCCGAGTCCAGGGTGTTGAAGGAGGCAAAGGAATTGAAGGTCTGAATTATGAGGATCTATGCATTCAGCCAGACGTGGAAGTGCCACAGGGTTACAAACCTCCTAAGTTCGAAATGTTTGACGGAACGGGTGATCCGAAGGTGCATTTGAGAACATACTGTGATAAGCTCGTGGGTGTTGGGAAAGATAAAAGGGTTCGCATGAAGCTGTTCATGAGGAGTCTCACTGGAGATGCCATATGATCACGCCCAACTATGCCTTATAAAAAGGACTCTGCGGACGTTGCAAATATAACCCGAGTATTACGCCCAAGGTCGAATCCACAGAGAGTTAACCTATCAACCACTATCTTCAGACCCACTAATTCTTCAGAACCAGCTTCCCAAATATTCAAATCTCCGTTGGGTGTTCTTTAACAACTACGCTTGCAAGTAACTAAATAGCTGTAAACTAAACTAATAAGGTTGTAAACAATTATGATAAAAAGCTAAGGCAATGATTTCCCCTATTGATGGAATCCCTTCTGTTTATGCTCATACAAATTTACCAACACCTCTCTATCAATCATGAACGCTAATCTTACCGTAAATCTCTCCCGAGTAATCACAGTAATTTACTATTGCACTCTTCCGAGATACACTAGCTTACTTTATTTAGCACGATTCACTTTAGATTACACCCAAGGCTTCGTTATCCCTAATCTCGCCTTTAAACCCGCAATTATAGATTCCTCTAATAACCTAGGAGTGGTGTTGTTCAATAATACTCTAAATATGCACTCTTTTCCAAGTTATGCATACTAAATAGGCACAGCTAATTGAGGATCCTGTCAATTAACTACAACAAACACGAAGTTGAACAAATAGAGATTAAACTAGCAATTTGTATTCACATAAACAAGAAGTTCATCACCCAATAGGTTCTATCAAAACCTTAGACAAGGAATTTAGCTACTCATGGCTATGGGAAAATAAACTAAGATAGAATTCATCATAAAAATCAAAAGTAAAGAAGAAAGATGTTTGGAGTATTCTCTCACAATGGTTTTCCTTGCTAAGAAACCTTACAAATCAATACATGCATCTCTTGGGCGAAGTCTAATGTTTTAAATGGGGTTTAGGTCTAAAAATCCCGTGTTTTATACTTTAGTCCCTGAAGTTTTCTGCTTCCGCCGCGGTTCTGCCGCGGTCGCAGTCAAACCGCGACCAAAAGCCTTCTCTGAATCTGAACTTATCTGCAGCTATCTTCCACCGCGGTTCTACCGCGGTCGCGGTGGAACCGCGGTCAACCTCGTCCTCTGAATCTTCAGGCCTGTTTTGCGTGGTTTACTTGGGGAATTTCACAGTTGGCCTCTTTTTCTTCATTTTTGACTCCAAAACTGCTCCTTAGCCTTCCTTATACATATATCACCTGCAAATCATGAAAAGCACTAATAAGAGCATTTTGTTATAACTTTTAGCACTAATACTACACAAGAAGGTGATTATTTAATGTGTGATTATAGTCAAATTCACCTATTATCAGTGATATATATATATATATATATATACATACCGGTTTCTCTTAAGCTTATACTAATGTAAATAATACACTGCCTCATTTGATATACACTTAATGGTGCTAGGATTCTATATATATATTTTTTAAATGTGATACTTATGAAAGTTGCTCAAAATTTAATTTATTTAGACTTGCATATGAATACTACGAAAGAAAACGCTGCTAGACTTGGTTGGAAAGAAAATTACTACAAGAAAGAAAGAAGGAATCTTAGATGATGTATAGCTATAGTTGTGGGATTGCAAAAGATATTATTTGAGAATAAATAAAAGAAGGAATTAAATACTTTAACTATGGTTAGGGCTTTATTTTATTCAATTAAATCTCATCCATTAATATTTAATCATGACAAGTTTCTCCAATTTAAGTAGGAATTTGGAGAAATGGATAGACTAGGAAATGGAGGGGAGTTGGATCCGATAGTCCCTATGTTGCAGTTTATGTGAACCTATTTCTTTTTTGGTCTTCCAAAAAGAATGACCCCTTTCTAAATTTGATAACAATTTAGCTTAAACTTACAATTCTACCCTTAATGACTTTTATAACCACATAAATACTCTGGGCCCTTTTTTGACTCTTCATTTTTATTAAACTCCGCGCGCATCAAACAGGTTCAAATAAAATCGGAGGGAGTATTGATTTTAATTTTTTTTTCTGTGGTCCCTGGGGTAATAGTACATAGTGTACTTTGTAATAGTACAAGTGCTAAATTCAGAATCCCCAACCAATAGTGAATAAGCTCTACCTCTCACTTCTCAAAGGACAAAGAAATGAAAGCAAATCTCTTGAATGCTCAATAAGTATCCTAATTTCCAAAAAGGCCAATATAGAACAAGAAGAGTTGACAAAGAAATGAAAAAAAATCAACATCAAGAAAGGAGGGAAAAGCATTGAATCTATGTCCAATCATGCAACTAAGAAAATTGTACCCTTCACTTTGGATGGATAGGGTTTTGCTTTGGCCTTTTGGTTCAAAGGCTAGGATGACAACAGGGATTCCTTTTATGGTTCCCCCCACCCCCACCCCCACCCCCACAATTCTTATTACAAAAATTGCAAATAATGTTACAATAGGGCACAGTTATGACATCCAATTTTAGCAGATGACTTTTTTCTTTACATTTTTGCGTACCAAAGGGCAAACCAAGTTACTCACTAGTTGCCCTCTTTAAGCTGCAGGATAACCACTTCATATTTAATAGTAAATGGCATACACAGGAAGCTTCCCCCATCCACACCTCCTTTGTTTTTAACTAATACAGTATTGTCTAACTATGGTTTGTGTGCTGAAATGAGTGCGACAATTTGGCACCAGATATTCAGAGGCGTGGAAAGAGCAGCTATGAGAAGCGGGAAAACCATCAAAATACCATAATTGTTCGTGGAGGTTTACACAGAAAGATCCTTTGGTTCTTGCAAACGGATTACAATTACATATTCCTGTTATATTCTGTATAAAATAATACGTATGTATTATCCTAATTCCTACATTAGTTAGTAATGCAAAGTTTAACACCAAAAAGCCAAACGCTACGCTAGTTTATCCAAAGTTGTCACTATAATATCAAACGCCGTATTAGTTATGAGAGAACACATTAGTAACGTAAATTTTTTATGCTACAAATATTGTACGCTGAGATTCTCTTTAGAAAATCAAATGACCCTTTACATTATAATTTTTTATTATATTATCGGCCTTTGTAGTCAAATAACCCTGTACATTATGAACTTTTATTATGCTATCGATCGACGTAGTTTAATTAATTGTAGTAACATTACTTACTCCTTTTTTCAACGAATTCAACATACTCTTAGCATAAAAAGTAGCTTGAGTTGATGAGTTGATATTAAAGGGAACCAAAACATCAAACAATGAGCTCGTATCTAAGGGAAAAAAGAATAGCAGCAGCATAAGAAAAATAACAAAAATGAAAATAAGTTCAATGGCTGGGAGAAAATTAACAAACAAAATCTTATATATATATCTTCTAAACCACAACTATAAAATTACAAATTAAGACCACAACATCATGAATTTTATTCCAATCCATGTTCTGAAATTAGTACATTTAAGTGGTAGTGGCCAGATGCTTGAAACAACTGACAAACCACCAGAAATTACTCCCTTATCAAATACTCTACATCCACCTTCCATTGCTAGAAAACTTCCCAAGGTAAGCTCAAAACAAGATTCTTCCACAAGTTACATTTCTCAGGCACCCACCCGAAAGGCCGAAACTTCATCAGAAATCACCTTCACCACTTAACAAGAAGAAATAACAGTAGTCATCAAATGCAGAATGACAACTGCAACGGCCACCAGAAGGTGTAGACACTCTTATCATCAATGTGATAAGTTGACAAGTAATAATTAGACGTAATTCTACACAAAATCTTATAACTACACACCATTATATTCACTACAGACGAGGGGGAAAAAACCCCGAGTGAGATGTCAAGCTTCTGTTATATATAGCTGCCTTCAGTTGAAGTTAAAGTGTTTCTATGAATGGTTAGGATGGATGAAGCTTGTTATCTCCTCCATTAGGCAGCGAAAATGATCGTTATTGGGCAAGAAGTAGAAACCTATTGTTGCCTCCTTTAGATATAGGAGATTCACCTCATGCCCTGATTTCTGCAAACCTTCAACATAAGTCAATTGCCAATCCTGAACAACATCCAAACCAGCTACAACGACTAAACTCTTTGTAAAGTTAAGTCCTTCGAGGCTTCTACCCCTCGGGCCAAATATATTACAAGCAGGATGATCCCTATCTTCCCCTTCTGGTAGATAAGCTCTCCAGTACCAATCCCTATCTTGAACTGTTACAAAGTATTTACCATCCAATCTCTTCTCGGATTCGGTCCTCTTTTGGCCACCAAACATTGGATGAAGTAGAATATTACCCAATACCTTAATATCGGCTTCAGCAGCCCTCACAGCAACATGATGAGCAATATTACCACCAGAACTATCACCGGCCAAGTAAACATGAACTTTCAAATCCTTTCCACTCTGAAGCCATGGCCTCGATTGCACCCATTGAAGAGCAGCCCATCCGTCATCGTAAGCACAAGGATAGCGATGCTCAGGTGATCGTCGATAATTCACAGAAACAACAACAGCCTTGCAAATGCTAACAAGGCGACGGCAAAATGTATCATAAATAGCACTATTGGCTGAAGAATGAGTAAAACTTCCACCATGGAAGAAAATAATGACAGGTACTATTTCTGTGGTGCTCAAAGGTTTCTCAAGCTCAACTTTACCCCAATCGGCCTCATTTTTTGGGGCTGGTCTATAGACACGGTTAAGCAGGCTTGTAGCACGATCAACAACATCAAAAGAGTAAACCCCATCAACTGGAATCGAGTTTGCAGCGACTTTCCTTTCCAAGAACTCAGCCAAATCGCGATTAAACGTGCCATCAGACCGACGAAGCATGTTGTAAGCCAGCTTGAAATTGGATATAAGAATCCATGTATTAAGTGGAACCACTCTCTGCCAAAATGGACGTAATAAGGCCCAGTCATTACGAAAAAAACATCTACAAATAGTAGAACCAATATCCACTCCCCATTCTGAGGTGCTAACAGCAAATTGATCATAGCAATATGCATCTTGTGACAATCCACAAATAGTCACAACAAATAAAGGAAATATCTGGCAACATTTTTATGCATAGCCAGAAAGAGAAAGTAGCAAACGGAAAAGAAAGAATCAAACCCCAAAAGAGCAAATAGGAAAGCAAAAAGTGATTCTGTAAAAAGGAGGTTAATATCTGTACAGACAGGCCAAAGAAACATAAGAATGACAGACCATCTACCTAATCAAAGCTCATCCACAAAAATCAATCATAAAGTTTCATCCTTTTTTCCTCAAAAAAATAAAAATTCAAATTTTCTTAGACACAAAAAGGTCAAATCACAAAAGATAGATACTTTCAGACATAAAATGATCATCTAATTAAGAAAAACTGGCAATTAACAGACTCATTACCAGCTAAGCTTAATAAAATTTCACAAAGGGAAAGGCTCAACTCAAAGATGAAGAAGAAACCAAAAAAGTTCATAAAAGAAAAGTACCTTAGATTCGTTAGCGTTGATCTCGTTACTGCCTGCCATGACTATTGCTAAAGACTCAAACTTTGTACAAGAAACTTAAAAGGGTGCACTGATCTTCAGAAATATGAGTGTATAATCGTTCATAATGACAGAATAGAGAGCAGTGATCCAAAGAACGGAGTTGCGGTGTGTGTGTGTGTTTGACTAGTTTAGGTGTTTGTATGTAAGTGAAGGGAGTTTTGATTCCTCGTTTAGTGTTAACTAAAACCAGAACAGACACTTCTGAAATAGCAACTGTCTTCCCCAGAAAACACAGCAACTAGGAAGGCAAAGAGTATAGAGAGGGAGAGAAAATATTAGCCCCAAAATTAAAACTTAAAGCGTGGAAAGCGCACATACACGCAGAGAAAGAGAGAGGGGTAGGGGTGGGGGGAATAGGTGAAGACCAAAAGGGGAATAGAGGAAATAAAAAGACGACAAGAACAGTGAAGAAACAGAAGGAAAAGTGGGATGAGAGAGAAAGAGAGAGCGTCATTAACAATTCACGGCTGGGTTAGTACAAGGGACAAGAGGATAATTAATGATAAAATTATATTTGAATAAATTTATCTCATATTTGGTTAAAATAAAATTATGGTATATTTAATTTCAAAATTAATTATTCCGAAATTATAGTATTTTTTTGTCCCATGGAAGGGTAGGACACTAATATAGGATAACTTATTTCTAACCAAACGGCCCCTCGAGGTAGAGGTGTTAAGGCTATTTTTGCAAATAAATAAATGAAAAATAAAATAAATCACTAGAACTTTTACAAACTCGATCAAACGCTACCTAAGACTATGAGGCCATAGTTTCAACCTTATTAAAATGTGGCATATATGTTTAATTCTATTAATGTATGAGGTTATGTTTTAATCCTACCACTCACATTGACCTTATTGATGTGTATTGAAGTGTGTCAACTCATATTACTTAGTGTTAAGTATCATTATATACTAGCATTCCTTATTTACTATTAGAAAGATATTACTCCTACTGTTTCAAACCTTCAAATATTTCGTCTGAAAATTTCTCGACAAATTAACTATAGGTTTTTTTTCTTCATCAAAACAATAGAATTGTTGTGCTCATTCTAAATTTGTTAAAGGGATAAGTACAAACAAAATATATCTTTTTATCAGAGATTGAATCGATCATCACCAAAAAAATTAAGGTAAAAACAAGTATACATTATGAAAAATCAAATTACCATCCACGAGAACCAAATAAAAACTTTCATAAAAATTCTCATACAATCGAGAATGAAGTTTGAATTTTATACCCATAAGATCGCGAATTAGTAATTGGGAAAACAACTCAAGTATGTTGAACATTTCATCTTTGAAAGAATAAATTTCAGTTTATGAGAATGCAACACAAGGGTGAAAAGGTCTCAAATTCAGAATCCATTTCTTAGTCTAATATTTTTAAAAATTACATAATTGAAAACTATATAATAGTATTACTATTAATTACAAAATTGTTATTAGAAGTATTTCGAAAATATATGAAAGAAATCTGTAGTCATACAAATGTTAGTTTCTACTTAAAACAACATTATTATCAGATAAAGGATTGAGTATAAATATTTGATTTGATTTGATGATATCATATATGACAAGGCAAAGAATAAAGTGGAGAGAGGAGGCGTGGAGTTAAACGCAAACAGACGGCGTTCTGGACGGAGGCGAGAGAAACGACAAAACAGGCGGCTGAAATGAAATGTAAACTGTTTAATAGGACCCATTATATGGTTAATTCTTTTTTCCTTTTTCTTTGTTAATGTAAATCAACTCTACTTTGTACTGTGGATACAAATATAGTGGCATACACTCTCATTATCATTTGTATTTTTATAATGTTAATACAAAGTAGCTTATTTCAATTTAATGAAAAGTTAATGGAGATTTGACTTTATTTAGCCCCTAAAAGTCTCGTACAGTACACAAACCACTCCATTTTGTTCCCACGCCACAATATTTGCACTTACTTTCCATTGGTTAATACTTAATACACACCACGCCGACTACCGTAATCATCACTTAAAATGTATTAATTTTTTTAACTTTTAATTAACTATTTTACCTCTTATTAATTAAATAATTTACATTGATAATGTATTTTTAACATCGCCAGCTTGAGGTAATCTATAGTAACACGTATGGTTATAGTAAGCCTAATTTGATAACTTAAAAAGTAAAAAAAAAATTACTATAACAAGTTAAAATTCCTTAAGAGTTGGTGGGGTAGAATTACTAAACTTATTAGTCATTGGATAGAATGAAAGATCAAAGTGTGAAGTGAATAAATCACCAAGTGTTATAAATAGAGTTTTATTTAAGGTGAATGTCTATATTTTAGAGAGATTTTAGGGATTTTACTTGGTGGCTAATAAGTCACTCTTTTCCTATAAATAGAGTGGTCATATTCCATTGTAATTAACTCGAAATCAATAAGAATTCTCTCTCCTACTTTTCTCTGCAATACTCTTCTTCTTTATTGTTCATAACACGTTATTAGCACGAGACTCTAACCAATTGAGTAGAAGCTTTGGGATTGAGCATAATTATTGTCAATTGTTCCATGAACTTCCTTCATGATTAAATTCTGAATTTAAGGTTAAGTATTTTACTTTATTTTTCTCTTTTAAATTCCTAACACTCTATAATTTAATTTTAAATACAAGCAAACACAATAAATTTTGATTATAACTCTAATAGAGTTTGTATGAAATTAGAACCACGCAAAGTGGTAAATTTTCTATGTCTTGCCATGATCAAATTCATGTATGATTGTAAGCACAAGAAGTGGAAACCCGTCCCGTTGAATTTTCTTCATTCTCATTCCCTTAAGAGAATGTGATAGCAGTATGTAATATGTCTGAAAGAAGACAAACTTATTACCATGAATGTATCAATGGATGTGGACTTGGCAGTAGACGAAATTATAATCGTCATCATTGTGGTAATGAGAATAATAAGTATTCTCAAAATAATCCTTCACTATGTGAAAGTAATATTTGTCATTGATTTGACATGAGATTTTGTAAAGCACATATAGATGATTATGGTCCATTCATGATGTGAATGTGACAAAGATTTATGAATATATATTCATTCTTGGAAGAATATGAGCGTGCTGGTGGTATATACCACTCTCGCCTCTAGAAGGAGGTTTGAGAGGAAATAAGAAAATAATGTCATCATTATCGCATAAATGGTCATTGGTCACGTACTTATTGTACCCCAAAATATTTTGCCAGTGTGATTATTAAAAGACAACGGTAATGCAAGAAACAGATCTTGCATATAATTTTGACCATAACCATAATGGTATAACTTTCTCTTTAAAAGAGATATTCACCATATGGCTGTTGATGAATATGTGGTAGTACCAAATTAATTGAGAGTTCTGGAAGAGCCAATTATTATTATTTGAGGAATACAATTGATTATCCTGTCAATTTATTGTGTTGTAGTAAGTCTCAAAGAAACTTATTGAGTTTCTAAAGTATTCGCGAAAGCGGTTGGTTATATTGAGACTATAAATAAAGGAAAGATTTAATATCTTTTATTACTACAACTTGGCGGGGTAATATGTATGTAAAAAGTTACCCGCTTTATTCTCCAGTTTGTACTACACAAATAAAAGAATATCACAATAAAGTGGATGTTTGTTGATATAAAAACTCATATTATAATAAACTTGGAGTTTATTGATAATTGCACACGTCATGGTGTAAATCTGAACTTTATTAATATTGATAATTTCTTCAGTTGGTATAATTGATTTAGCCATGTTAATTTAGTATGATGTGCAAAAATAAAAGAGAATCTACATGGGTAAATATTAAAGAACTAGAAAGTTCTTTACGAATTCTCTGATTATCCTGATTCTCTTAGATAATCAGGATAGTCTAATTTAGTTAATAGTTAATCACAAGTCCTCGTGGGATCGACATCCGACTTTTAGTCACTTTATTACTTGACGACCGCGTATACTTGCGTGACTTTTTGATGATAGGCTATAATTACGTATTTTAGTCGCTTATTACACTCTAATTTACTGCACTTTAATTGCTAGTGTCTTGCACTAACTGTGTGTTCTATACGTTGTAGGAGTGATTCCGAGCTATATAGATGTTATGGAATGAATTAAAGTGATTTGGAGCTTTAAAGTTTGAGTAGTAGTTCAAGGAATTAAGCCGGGATCGTGTTGGAGGGTCAACGGATGATAGTTAGAGCAAACGAAGACTTCAGTAGGCAGATTGCGCACTGTCTAGTAAAATACATATAACTTTTTTCTCAGAACTCCATTTTGGCTCCACAATATATGGTTGAAAATCTAACTCAAATGGCTACAACTTTCATGTTTTACGTTTTTCCAAATTCGGAAGGGAACAGGGTGAAAAATACGCGAACACGCGAAGTTAGCGCGAAGTCGCGCGAGTTAAGGAGCTGGAGGCAGAATGTCAGAAGTCATGCGCGAGCTCGCGCTAGTCACCCGGGAAAAATGTCCTTTTTCACATTGGAGAAGGTATAATTGTTTGGGCCCAACCCTACTTGGTATATATACATGGAAAATGGTATTTTGAAGGGAGGAGGACGTTTTTTAGAGGAAAACACAAGCACAGAGCCGCCGTGGAGGCCGGGTTTCATCTTTTCTTCCACCAACTTAGTCTTTTTCTGTTTCTTTGTATGATTTGTTGTTTTGCTACTATGTCTATGTGGAGCTAAACTTCACGTTCTAGGGTTGTGGTTCTTTCATGACTATTGTTATTCGGATATTGATTTTGATTTCTTAGTTTATCATATTGGTTTATTTATTCAATCCTGCACTTAATTATTTGATTGCTTGATCACCAATTGAATACTATCTACGAATCTTGAATTGAACTTGAAAGTGGGAATTCTAGATTGCATATAGGATTGAGTAGAGCAAGTTCTTGAACCTGGGCCTCGGGGAACGGATTCGCGGTTAGGATAGACATATACCTAATTGCCTTGCTTGGTTGATTTACAGGAATTATAAATGCGTACTTGTTGATTCTAATTCCATAGACATATAGGAGTTAGGTTATCTTGAATAGGCGAGTAAGAACTCGACAGATTCTTATGAGCAATATTAACCCTGTCAACCAATAAACTAGATAAATTAGTTAGTCAATTCAATTGAAGAATA